TAGCTTATTTTTATTCTCTCTGAGATCATTAAAGTGTTCTTTTTAGTGTGTAGTCTCTTGAGTTTCCATTCTTGTTTTGATGTCTCTTATCTTTTATGTTAGAGGCTTTCTTCAAATGTCAAGTAATCCTTGGTTTTCTGTTATTTTAAAAGTTAGGTTTAAAAAATGCTGATTGGAAGCTCTGTGTGTTTGGACTCGGCTTTATCAACTATAGAGTGCTCTGTAGAATAATTGGGTTATGAGTTGACTTTTTATTGGGAAAATTCTAAATGTCTGTACCAACAGGTACATGAGATATTTACCTGTGTAAAATTTTGTGAAGGTTAGTTATATATGGCATCATAAACAACTTAAAATTCAATGTTAGGTACATGAATTCCTAAAAATTTCCACTATTTGATTCATGCTGACCCACATCTATCCCCAATCAGCTTTATAAATTGTTTCCCTAAATGAAGCCAGTTCATTCAAAAAGAATTATTGCTCAGTTTGTGCCATATACCCAAATATCAACTGTTGAGTTATAAACTCTGTTACATGATAGCTATTGGCTAACTTGACTTCTGAACTGGTGCCAACTTAATCATATGTCACTTTTATTTCCTCATAATGTGTAATTATTGCATGTGGACCCATTCAACTCATTAAGATAATTACATTTATCTTGAAGTTCATCAATCTCCTTGTTTTTGTGACTTTGCTAAAAACCCATGTTTATGGATCCTCTTCATGAGTGAGATTGAGATTTTCTACATATTGGAATAACCACACTGGAAAGCCCTGTCTATTGACTTTCAGTGTAACTCTATAACCCGTTGGCAAACTTCCTGTTAAGGGCTCCTCCCCACCCCTTAGGTCAGTGATGGCGAACCTTTTGAGCTTGGCGTGTCAGCATTTTGAAAAACTCTAACTTAACTCTGGTGCCATGTCATATATAGAAATTTTTTGATATTTGCAACCATAGTAAAAAAAAGATTTATATTTTTGATATTTATTTTATATATTTGAATGCCATTTAACAAAGAAAAATCAACCAAAAAAATGAGTTCGCGTGTCACCTCTGACACGCGTGTCATAGGTTCGCCATCACTGCATTAGGTGGTATGAAAGCATCGTAGTTGTAGCTATAGCCGGATCCTCACGTGATTTCTTTTCTGTGGAATCAAATACTTGATTTGCTGATCTTATCTTAGTAGACCTCCTAGCAACATTTGATTTACTGGGTTGCTCTCTGCTTCTTGAATCTTTCCCACATACCACATACTTCTGATTTTATTTCTACTTCCTATCACATTGGCCACTATTTTCTATTCTCTTTTGTTAGGTTCATCTTTTCAGCTTGACTTGTGATGTGAGAGTGCTTCAGGATCTTGTTCTCACCTCTTCTCCTCTCTATCTCTTAAGGTGATTCTATCCAGTTCCTGGCCTTATGCTGATGACTCAGTCTCTGTGTTGTAGCCCCAGGACTCCTGAGTCTATTTGCCTTCTTGACATCTTCACATAGATGTTCAATACAGAACTTTTGAGTCACACTATCTACACACGCCCTAACTGCTCCTTACATACCTCTTTCTTCCCCTTTTGTAAAATGGCACCACCATCCAGCCACTTGCTCAAGCTCAAATATGGCAATTACTCTTTATCCTTCTTCCACTTAACACATGTATCTACAAACACTATTGGTTTTACTCCAGCAAATGCTTTGAATTTGTCTGATTCTCTGTATTTCCACGACTCTTACCTTAGACAGACAAAGACATAATGTTTCTTCTGGACTACTGCAATAGCTTCTCACCTGGTATCCTTGCTCCCATTCTTACACATAGCAACCAAAGTTTTAGAAACTTAAATCAGATCATGTCATTAAGACCCTCCAAAAGTCTCTCTCACAGAACCGGACATGCTCTAGCTCTTACCTATAAGCCTGCATCTGGTTCCTCACAGCACCAAGCTCATTCCCTCCCTGGAGTCTGCGAGCAAGCACTTCCTCTGCCTGGAATGACCTTCTCTCTTATTCAGGCGTGTCACAGTCTTATCTTCTGTTCTAAAATGTCACCTCCTCAGAGTCCTTCCCTGGGCTCCTAATAGAGTCACACTCAGTCATTTTCTTTCTCATCAGCCTATTTTTATTCTAACACTTATCACTATCTGGTATTTTAATCATTTACCTGAATGTAAACTCCTTGAGAGCAGTGACCTTATCAGTCTCATTCAACATAGTATCATCAGTGTCTGGCACTAAGAAAGCCCTCAATGCCTGGTTTTTGAAAGAATGGGTTAATAGATGGATGAAAGGCATTTTAGAAGCCTTACGATCTCTCTCTCTCTCTCTTCCCCCCCCCCCCCCTCTCTCTCTTTTTTGAGGTGAGTAAACCAGAGAGAAAAGCAACTTGCATGTACATTGGTGGCTATTTGTTATAAATTTGTTCACTGTTACACTGACCTCAGCTACATCCAATGGCAAATGTTTTTAATTATACTGTTGGTTCTACCAATCTGACCAATTCATTGTCCCACCTTAAGGTCTTATCAGCATAATCCAACCTGAGGGTGCTATGGACAGATGCCAGCTATATGTTTTATTGTGTCATTTGCCAGTGACTGGTCGTCTTTATCCTGGGGCAGTTATGTAAGCTTTGTTCATAAACTTTGAGAACTGGCTTTTTGGCTATTCTCTCTTGTTGACCCACAACAAACCCACCTTTTTATCTGTTATTCAAACTCAAGTTCTTAACATGCTAAGTCTCAATTTTGCTGCCTGCTCAGCTCTGCCATGATAGCGGAGCGGGGGGGCGGGGGGACCCAACAACAAACTCATTCTCTGCCACTTTTCTCCTCTATTTAGAATAAATATGAAATTCACTTCACAGGGATTAAATGAGCTCATTAATAATCCAGTTAGTTGGATTAAATACATTTATGAATATGAAACGTTTGCTGAGTGTAAGATGCATTACAGATATGAGATTAAATGCAAGAGTTTGCCCATATTAATCAATTCCTAATGTATTAAATATATGATCATCAGTAATTGTAATCTTTTAAAGATGTTATATGTCAGGCTTTCAGAACAACTGCCTCTTATCCAGTATACTTTTGAATTTAATACTATTTTTAATAAAATTTTGTTCACTGTAGCCGATCCACATGGTATAAAATGAAAATTGAAAGTATGCCTTTTTACCTCAGACCCTACCAATATAACCCCGGACATAAGCAGGTAGCATTAGCTTGCTGTTTTTAGTTACTAACAATAGAAATAGCAAGCATAACACAATAGTTTAGTACATGACTGGGAGTCTGGCATTGCTATAAACACTTTATTTATAAATCCATTTTGATGCTCACAACAATCCTATGGCTCAAGTATTACTATTACCCAATTTCATAGATGAGCAAACCGAGGCCCAGACTCACAGAGCTAGGCAGAGGCAGCCCGGGCAGTCTGGCGCCAAAGGTCAAGCTCTTCGTCACGATAAACAACATGGCGTGGACACCTTTCCAGATGAGTTTGTGGAGCTTTGCATAATGTTACTACCTACAGAACATTCCATTGCATGATGTCTTTTATTTCTCGACTCACCATTAATGAGAATTTTAATTTCTTCCAGATTTTATTACTAAACATAGACTGCAAAAAAATATAAGATGAAGCTGCTCTGGACAGCCCAGGGCTTTTGTGTGAATCTGTCGACAGTGTACATTTCTAGAGGCGGCTAGCTGAAACAAAGAACTTGTGCGCTAAACTTTTTGAGTTGACAATAACAAATTGCTCTCCACAATGAACAGTCATTCCACCTGGAGTCTACAGACCCCAAGAATCACTGCGAGGACTTGTCATTTCTTTGTGCCTCTGCTTTTGTTTTTTTAATCTAATATTTTAAAAATCGGATTGCTCTGCTGTTTGATGAGGAATTTACCACATGGCAAACAACGTTTTAGGAAAGCTCCCCGTATGTCTGTGAGGTGAGGTGTCCACTCCTGCGCCTGCGCTGCCTGGTACCCTGAGGCTCAAGGAGGCTGTTCATCTGGGCTCAGCCTGAGATATTTATTGGCTCTTGAAGATTTATTTAAGCAGAACCTCTAAACCAGTGGTTCTCAACCTTCCTAAGGCCGTGACCCTTAAATACAGTTCCTCATGTTGTGGTGACCCCCAACCATAAAATTATTTTCCTTGCTACTTCATAACTGTAATGTTGCTACTGTTATGAATCGTAATGTAAATATCTGATATGCAGGATGTATTTTCATTGTTACAAATTGAACATAATTTAAGCATAGTGATTAATCACAAAAACAATATGTAATCATATATGTGTTTTCCGATGGTCTTAGGCGACCCTTGTGAAAGGGCCGTTCGACCCCCAAAGGGGTCGCGACCCACAGGTTGAGAACTGCTGCTCTAAACCAACATACAGTTTCACTCATTTACACTCCAGGGAGAGAGAGGAGAACTGTGAGGAGCGAAACGCCACAGAATGCCATCACCCCTCATCCCACCCTGGCAAACTTCTGAAGAAATGGAATTGATCACTTCTTTCCCATTTCAAGTCTCTCTTTCTAACCAGGGTTTTTTCTCAGTGCATTGGCATGTGAAAAGTCCAAAAGGAAAGGAAATTCACAAGGTTACTCTATTGACTAAGACATTTTGCCTGCCTCCAAGAAGATACTGCAGCTATGGTAGGAAGGAGCATCGAGAAAATGCCTTGTATTTCCATAGGAGGGAACTTAGAGCAACAGGAAGATCAGTACTAAAACTTCCCTACTTTCTTGAGAAAAGTAAAGCTTCGAGAGGTTAAAGGACTCAGCGTTGCTTATTCAGGTAGAGTGGTGAGGTCACAGCTGAGACTTGGATTACAGTTTCAGAGTCACGTGTTCTCTATTGCACCTGCGGGGGTGGGAGGAGGGGTCGGGGAGGGCTAGGCCTCCAAGCCTGACTGCTGCCAGTGTCTAGTCTCATCTAATCAGCATTCTGACATCCTTCTCTCTGCTCCAGGCACACGGAGCTGCTGGGTGAAATATAACAAACTGTGTTACATCGCGGAGGGAGGATGATTCCTATCTGCCAAAAGAAGGAGAACCCCATAAGCAACGTGGTGAGTGCACGAGCTGATGCCAAAACAGAAAGGGGACATCGGATGCGGCGTAGGAGCTATCAGCTAGGGTTGGAGTTTTCCCAGAGATCTAGAATAAAAGACTCGGGCCTGTGAGTGGTGAGGTGTGGAAACTGGAATGCACACATAAAGCTAGAACCAAGGGGGAAATGCTCCCACCGTGTTAGCTATCTCCAAAATGAAAATTTTTTAAATCTCTGCCATGCATAGGTGCAGAATCCAAACTGCTGATTATTTTCATAGTATAGGACTCCCAAATGGAGATATTAATATAGGTCTGGAACTATTTCAGACCAGTGAGATCCTGAAGTTCCCAGAGGAATAAAATGCCAGACTTGTTTGAAAGGTTATTACTACATCTTAAAGTACATAGAAATTCCACCGGGAAAATGTCTCCTCGCAATTAAAAAGTTCAAATCTGCCGAAACCGGTTTGACTCAGTGGATAGAGCGTCGGCCTGCGGACTGAAAGGTCCCAGGTTCGATTCCGGTCAAGGGCATGTACCTGGGTTGCGGGCACATCCCCAGTAGGGAGTGTGCAGGAGGCAGCTGATCGATGTTTCTCTCTCATCGATGTTTCTAACTCTCTATCTCTCTCCCTTCCTCTCTGTAAAAAATCAATAAAATATATATTAAAAAAAAGTTCAAATCAAACAAGGAAATGGTCCACAATGGGGGAGAGGACTTGCACCCCAACAACCTGAGAAAACATAACAATCTAGAGCTGTATGAAAAATAAACAAAGCTGTCTCTATGTATATGTGCAATCATCAAGGAGCTAAGGGGAGAAATAAAAAGTTCACGAAAGAACAGGGTACGAAAAATTAACAGGCAGAGGTGAAAAAACTCAATAGAATACAGTGGAGCCTTGACTTATGAGTGTCCCGACTAGCAAGTTTTTCGAGATACGAGCCGTCTCTCGGCCGATTTTTTGCTTTGAGTTGCGAGCTAAAATTCGGGTTACGAGCCAGCTTCAGATGCCCCACCGCTAGTTGGCGCAGCGAACGTCACAGTGAACGCCACAACATCAGCCCAGCATCACGTGTCTCACTCGTTCGCTTCTGATTTGACATACAAGTAATTTGAGTTACAAGCTCCGTCATGGAACGAATTAAACTCGTAAGTCAAGGCCCCACTGTAATCTAAAATAAAAAGTTGTGAATAGAATTAAACACAAGGGCCAGCTTTAAGAGCAGATTGGCACACTTAAAGAATGGATGATAGGAAAGATAAATTTGAGAAAATTATCCAGACGGCTGCAGAGAGATAAAAAGGCATAAAATCCAAAAGACAGACTTAAATTAGAAGTTTCAGTTTAGGTTTAATGGGAATGTCCAAAGGAGAAGGGGCAATATTTTAAGTGAAAATAGTGCTGGAAAATTCACAGCCAAGGAAAGCCGCAAATCGAAGAAACTCGCTGAGTGAGTCCTGCACACAACGTGTAAATCTAGACTCATGTGAAGAACTGAACTCTGAACATAAGCAAACTCTAGCAGAAGAGCAAGCAGAGCAAAAAGATAGCATTGCAAAGGAACAATCAGAATCATAGTGGACAAAAGCAAAACAGAGACCAGAATGCAAATCTCTGGTTATCAGAATCACCTGAGACGCACATTAAAACGCAATATTATGGTTTTTCCCCAGATGCTCTGGATGGTGTTCAGGAAGATGCCTTTTACAAAAGCTACTCTGGTCATCAGGTAGGTTTAAAACCCCTTTGTTCCTTAGCACCAATTACATAAGTGCACGCAGACGTTCATCTACAGTTGTCCCTCCACATTCACCAGGGACCGGTTCGACAACCCCCCACGGATGCCAAACTTCATGGGAGTTCACGTCCCTTCTGTAAAATGGCGTAGTATTTGCATAAAACCTACTCACACACTCCATATACTTTAAATCATCTCAAGATTACTTATAATTCCTAACACAATGTAGGTGCTATTTAAATAGTTAGACTGCATTGTTTAGGGAATAATGACAAGAAATAAAGTCTGTATGTTCAGTACAAACGCAATCATCATAGGCCTAGCTACACCCTGTACGTCAGCAACAACGTAACATTCTTATGTCAAATACTAGAGGCCTGGTGCATGAAATTCATGCACTCGGGGGCGGGGGGGTCCCCTCAGCCCAGCCTGCACAGTCCAGGAGCCCTCAGGGGATGTCCAACTGCCACGGAGGCGGAAGAGGCTACTACTGCTGTGCTCGCCAGCTGTGAGTCCGGCTTCTGGCTGAGCGGCACTCCCCCTGAGGGAGCGCACTGACCACCAGGGGGCAGCTCCTGCATTGAGTGTCTGCCCGTTAGTGGTCAGTGTGTGTCATAGCAACGAGTTGGTCCACCATTTAGTCGATTTGCATATTAGACTTTTATTATATAGGATTTTTTAAATGCACAGTTGGTTGAATCTGCACATGTGGAACCCACCAAAATGGAGGGTGGACTATACTCATACCCTCTGATCTCAAAGGTCTGTTAGTGAAATTACTCCTTTCAGCCACCCCTGAAAAAAATGAGTTTGGATCCATAACCAAGGATTATTTCTGAAGGTTCTTTTCTTTCCAGTCTCTAGGGCAGTCATGCTACTTGGTACCAGAAGATGATCCCAAAAGAAAGGCAAGTGAGTTAAGTCCGAGCCCCTCCTACCTCACAATTTCTCTTGTATTGCCATCTGCGATGTAAGAATGGTTAGAATCAGATGTTGCAGCATCCCGCCTCGCACCTCTGAGTCCTGGGTGTGTATTTGATGAGACTCAGGAATACAGTGGGGCCTTGACTTACGAGTGTCCCGACTAACGAGTTTTTTGAGATACCAGCTGTCTCTCGGCCGATTTTTTGCATTGAGTTGATAGAATAATTTGAGTTAACGAGCTCCTTAATGAGCTCGGTCTCGGAACGAATTAAACTCGTAAGTCAAGGCCCCACTGTAGCCCGTGTTTGCAGAGTGTTTGGCAAGACACGCTTCCTATGTTACTTGATATTTCATGTTAAATACAAGCAGACATGTTAACCCACCAATACCAGAAATCTAGTCTCTCTGCCTTTACAGACATCTGTTCTCAGACCAAGGATTGTTCAACTGTTACAATTAGGGCTAATTCTGTAGTAAAGTCATACTAACTACAACTATTTACAATAGCCATACTTTTTGAACTAATAGCACTACTTGTAGGAATTTATTCTAAATGCCTCAAGCACATACACACAAAGACCCTTTATACAGGCATACTGCAGAGGTGTTGTGGGTTTGGTTTCAGACCACCACAGTAGAATGACTATCACAATAAAGAAAGTCATCATCTTTTTGCTGGTGGAGGGTCCTGCCTTCAATTTGTCAAATATGCTGTATCTGTGAAGTACAGGGAAGGGAAGCACAACAAAATGAGGTGTGGCTGGACTCGAAGTGGTTCATCCCAGCGTGACATACACACAGCTGCAGGAGGAATGGAGGGTAGTGCGGTCTGGGCACACTGTTCCAGACACATGCAATAATGCATTTTGCTTTGGGGCATGAACTCCTGACACACAGACATTACACTGTATTTCTCCTTTTAGTAGAGAATGCTTAAACAACCCCATATCCACACCACAGAACCGTGCCAGGCTCACAAGAAATTTTAGAAGTACCATAAACATAAAGAAATATTTAACCTCATTAATAAAGGGAATAATAAAACTCCTTTTACTCATAATAAATTTTTAAAAAAAGAATGATAGTATCAGTGGTGGAGAAATGGGCATTACTTTGCTGTAGGTAGTACAAGTTGGTATATACTTTCTAGATAGAAATTCGGTAATATGTAGCCAAAGGCTTAAAAATTCACATAATTTATTTTTCAGCAAATCCACATAAATTATATTTTTTTTAATTTAAACAAGTATAGCATTTTTTATATGATTTAAAAAACTGGGAACAATTTAAGTGTCTGAAAGTAGGAATGATTTAAAATATGGTGCTATACAATGGAATATAGTTGGGAAAGATTCATAATACATTGGTAATGGTTTTAAAATTATAAAATAAAATAATAATTTTGTAAAATTATAGATAAGAACACTTAAATGCCAAGAAGGTGATATAATAAGAAATCATAATGATGGAAAAAATGTATGTTACCAAAAAAAACCTGATAATGATTATCTCTGGGTGGAAACTTATGGGTGGTTTTCTTTTTTATATAGTATTGTCTATAAATTTTGCAATAGAATTTTAATTAAATAAAATGATAGTTATCATCGAACTCTATCATATGAGATAAGGCGACCTTTTTTTTTTTTTTGCCATAATGGGCACTGACCACAACTATGTAGAAATGTCTACCTTAATAGAAGGAAAAAGGGCACCTCCGCTAAGGGCGGTGCTCTTGGCCAGTGGAATAGGGGGCAAATGTTTTTCTACTTCTATTAATGTCTCAGATTTTCCATATATTACCAATTTTATATTTAGAAGAACTAGAAGGAAATGTGTTTTTAATATAAATTAAATTGATAAAGTACTTAGGATCTTCCCTTTACATTTTTATCTTATATGCCTCTCTGCTGTATCAACTATCCATACGGCGTCCTAATGCCACATTTCTGGGCTCCCACCAGTTCATTGCATCGGGTACTTTTATATAAGACACTACTGAATTTGTGATTTCAATGATGAAACCAGGAGCTTTTCTAGAATCCTCGCCTGAGTCTAGCAGGGAGCTGGGCGGGATTTGAGCGTGCTCCTCCCCACCTGGCATCCCATCTCCGTCTCCGAAGGGGATGGAGGTGATGAGATCTTGGCACCACTGCTCCAGCCCCACGTGGCAATGCATTCGCTTTCTGGCTTGAACTCCTCACACATATGCTCTGCCTTTCCACTTTCAAGCAGCGAGCTCCTTGCCTGCACCAGTCTGGATGTCAGCAGGCAGCCTGCTGGCCCCCAACGCTTTCTGCATGAATTACTCTGTGTGGTTTCTGCACATTGAAACTTGGCACCCAGACACACACACACACCTTCCGGCCTCCCTCCCCTCCCCCTCCCCCCATCCACACTCACACTCACTCTGTATTCCCTTACAAGTCATCCCGATTCTTGGCCTGGATATTGAGACAAAGCCAGACTTTCTTCAAAGAATCGCCTCCTTTGCATCCGCTGAGATGCCATGTTCCCCTTCCCCTTCCCAGAGAAAGCACCCTCTCCAGTCACTCCCCGTCCCATCACCACAGTCCCCTCAAGGAAGCAACCTTGTCACTCCATGGCCCTGGGTCTTCTCTAGCTTCCGTCACATTCAGCATAGGGTATATATTTCTTAGATGGAAATGAGTCCTTCATGAGGTGCCCCAACTTAGCGGTCAGCCCCCACCGTCACAGACATGTCCTGCCTTCCGCTGCTGCTCTCGCACATGGTCCCTGGACCTGACCCGCCTCCTGCCGTGCCTCTGCTCTCCCACAGGCTGTTCCCTTGCCTTCTCCACTTTGTCCCCATCCACGCCACTGCAACGTTCAGAAATCAATTCGAATGTCATCTCCACTGAGAAGTTTTCCTGACCCTGCTTCCCTCACTCACCTCCCACCCCCACCCCCAATCCAGTGCCAGGTGCCTCACCCATGACCTCTACAAAATCTAAGAGCATTTGCCAGCTCAGCTCTGTCCCTCTGGATTGAGAGGTCCTTGCAAGCAAGGACTGGGTTTTTCTGTGGTTTTGTTCCAGTACCTTGCCTACTTTCATCGTTTCCAGGGGATCGCAAGCACTCGGAAACGTGTCCAGCAGTCCTACCCCTGAGAACAATCCCAGCATATGGAAGGCATGTACAGGAATGTTTGCAGCACCATGACTTTTATTAGTCCCCAAATAACCATTAGTCCCTGGAAATAACCCAAATCCCAAATGCCTGTTAACTGGAGAGCGGGTACGTTAATCATGGCATTTTAAATCAATCAATCCTATGCAACTATGGGAAGGAAGGAATAAATGCTATGAATGGATTTCACAGACCTAATGTTGCGTGAAAGCCATGACGGAGGCGGGAGTCACCTGTGGTGGGAGCAATCAGGAGAGGAGTTACCCCTGAAGGCACAGGGTACCTGATGGGGCCTCGGGGACCCCAGGAATGCTCCGGGGCGCTGGCCACGTGAACATGCTCACGCTACGGAAACTCATCCAGCTGTAGATTTATGGTTTGTGTACGGATCTGTATCTCAAACTTGAATAAAGGTTTTAATTGAGCCAGTTCCTTTGTGGAGTACTTTCTCGTGGCGTTTGGACGGGCAGACATGGTGAGTGTGGGTGTGCCTGCTTCCTGGGTGCCCTCCCCCACCCCACCCCCCGCCTCACAGCAGTGTCACAAGGCAGAAAGAATTTGTAACAAGTCAGAAAACTCTCGCTGTAGAGAGTTTAGCATTTGCTTTAAGAAACAGCTGCAGGTGCTAATTTGGGTGATTTGACTTCTCCCTTAAATTGATCCTCCACTCAGCAATTCACTGCAACTGAATGTCCCTCTTCGCACGGTGGCTTCAGCCTCCTGCCCCTAAGGCTTTAGTCGCCAACAGGCATGAGCCTATTGGCCTGGGCACACCAGCCAGACCTTCCTTCTGCTCCGCTGATTCCCATGTCACTGCTGCAGTTTAAAATTGGGGTTTTTCTTCTTGGCACCAGGATTGTGCTTATCTAAATTAACATCTTTCAGCTGCTGAGTGGGGAGTGGGGGCGGTTCCCCTCCAAATTTAAGGGGTCCAGAAACACCAGACTATGGGGTGTTTTTAATAATAGATTTTTCTCTATTAGTGGACACGGAGCCTGGCGGCCCTGGGCTGAAACGGCTGCAGCCTCACCCTGGAGCCCGCCCAGCGCTGCAGGAATCACCAGCTCCTCTCCCGAGTTCCCTGACAGAGGCCTTGCAGTGTCTGCACAGATGGGGATTCTGCTGCCACCCTCTCTGTTCACATTTCCTGCACTTTTCTTCCGAAGCATTTGCCTGAAATAGAACCGTGGGTTGGGAGTCGGTGTGGGAATTTAGGGGGGTGGCAGGGGTTCGGGTAGCTCCCTGTAACTGCCACCGGAGGTAATTCTATTGGCTGCCAGGTGGGGAGGGATTCGGAGGGTGCTCAGCTGTCTCTCCAGGACCAGCACTGGAGTTTCTTCCCCGGGGTGGCTGGGGAGGGCCCACCATGAGGCAGGCATTCGTGCCGACCCCGTGCGCAGTGACACAGGCAGGCGGCCCCCACCAGCCTTGCCACCAGCTCGCCCCATCACCAGGCCTCTGCACTTTGAGGTCTCTTCCTCACAGGCTACTCCCCTCCTCTCTGCCTTTCCTGTTGGGTCCCTAAAGGCCACTGTCCCTGCTTCTCTTCGCAAAGGTGAATTATCTCCGTCCTTCAAGGTCTAGCTCAGATCTCACCTCCTTTGGGAAGCCCTCCTAAATGACTTCAGCTAGAGGCGGTTTCCCCCAGGGCTGGGTTTTTAGAGCCCCTGGTGACTGGACGGTGTAGAGCAGCGGTTCTCAACCTGTGGGTTCTCAACCTGTGGGTCGCGACCCTTTTGAGAGTCAAACGACCCTTTCACAGGGGTCGCCTAAGACCATCGGAAAACACATATATAATTACATATTGTTTTTGTGATTAATCACTATGCTTTAATTATGTTCCATTTGTAACAATGAAAATACATCCTGCATATCAGATATTTACATGATGATTCATAACAGTAGCAACATTACAGTTATGAAGTAGCAAGGAAAATAATTTTATGGTTGGGGGTCACCACAACATGAGGAACTGTATTTAAGGGTCACGGCATTAGGAAGGT